CAAAATGAACAAGAAAAAAAAGAGCTTGTTGTTGTTGTACATAATCACAATTATTATCAATTAATCTTTGTGAATAATTTTTTAATGCACCTTCAATACATCTATTATTCATACAATCTCTTATTGAAATATATTCACAATACCAATCAGGTGTATTTATAAAATGTAATTCACGAGACCATTGCCATTTATTATAATCTAATGGATTTGTATCTGGATAAAGTATTATATCAGGCCATGATGCAATTGCACTTAAATTACCTAATAAATCTCCTGGTATATAATTTTGAATCCAATTATTAGTAGATAAATCTAATTGACTTTGTGCAAGACGTGCAACAAGACTATGACCAATTGGTCCCCATCCAAAAATACAAAGAAGAATACTTTGATAGAATAGAACGAAGTACAATTGCGATACTGACATGATATGAAATGTATATCAACGAAGGAAAAGTAAAAAAAAGAAAACAAACGATATAGAAAGTAATAATGATCGATAGTGGCCAAATAGATAAGCAATCAAAATGGATGAAAGATATATGATTCATTGTTTATCTTCCGTTGAAGTTAACTGAATAGAAAATAAAAACATATTCAAAAAATTTCCTTTGTAATTTTTCTAAACAATCGAATATATATTTATTTAATTAAAAAGAATATATTCGATGAAAATTTATTCATATGTTATTTTTTATAACATTATTACAAATCAGAAGAATTAATAGAAAGAAAAAAAAATAATATTTCTATGTTTTCTAACAGGGATAATGTATTATTATCAAATAGTCAATAAAAAATTCTTATTTATTTCACATTACTTTTTTTGAGTAGTACGATAACATTTATAATTTTAAATTCTGTATTTCAGTACTTTTGACCTGGTCTCAGTCTAGAGGAAATTATTTCAAAATTTATTTATATCGAATCTGACGATGTCAATAAGCATACGCTTTTTTTAATTGATTCAGTCAATGAATATTACTTTGTTTGTGAGCTTCTCTTCTGAATTTGTTTTGATAAAAATGTTTTATAAAAACATTTGCTTCAAACAACACATATTTAACTGTAATCTTTAGAGTATAGGTGTCTTTTCTTCACTCAAATCAACATCCTCACCACTATTCGAAGTATGTAAGATATTATGTCATGTACAATATCGTTGAGATACTTTTTACAAAAGTGATCGTGAATAGCAATGAAGTTTGATCTATTGACTAATGAAAATATTTCTAAAATTATTATGATGATACATTAAATAGACGTAATTATATCTTCATGCAAGATAAAACGTTTGAAGTTCTATCCATGGTAATTATTACGGTCTTCAAGAAGAGTATGAGTAATACTTTTGTTAAACTTTTTCAAGATTTTGTCATCAATTTTTTTTTTGATTCTACAATACAATACATATTTTAACTTGAATCTTCAATAATAGATTATTGCATTGATATAAAATCTTACATATGAAACTTGCAGAAATGTCTTGGAATGTTAGGAAGAATTTCAGAAAAAAAATGATATACGTGTCATTTATTAAAAGAAAATCAACAAAAAAAAAAAAGATCACAGTTTATTCGGTGTGATGTTCATCAATCAAGGTCTTTTTCAATACCATAGAAACTTTTGTATTCTATGATTATTTGAACCGACGACATATAAATTAAGTTGACTATCGAGTTCTACCGACCAGGGCAAATTGAACAAAGTAGAATTACTACCACTAACGTCTGTAACTTCGGCAATTGTTATTGCTTCTGTTTGTCCATTTATAAATAATTGTATTCGATGATTTTGTCTATCAGCAACATCTGTTGGATAAGTTAATGCAGTTGCATTACTTCCTAGACTTCCATTGATATCACCAGCTAGTAGTAGTGTCCAACTAATGGCACCTAATGACCAACGAACAATATTGTGCGTATTATGATTGATAATTAAAATACTATTTGAAAATGAATCGAAATAAGCACGAACAGAATTTGCTAGTTGTGTAATGTTTTATCCATAAGTACTATTGCCAGCAACCCAAGAACCTGATGATGCTCCCGATGCATAGCTCATCACTCTATTATTGCCATAGTCTGCTCTATAAAGTGTATCGGACGTTGAATCATATGCAATACCATAAGGATATTGCGATTGATTGTTTAAACTACCGAAATCATCTAAAACAAACTTGTTCATAAAGTTGAGGAAACATTTAGAAAATCAGTCACGATTTGTACTGCATGATTTGGTGAAACAGATATGATGAAGATTAAGGAATACACTAGTTTTATTTTCTGAAAAACATTACTTAGAACAGTTTTTATAATCTAATATTCTTCATGTAATAAGCAAATATTGTATATATTCAGAACGAAGAGTTTCAAATAAAAAATTCTTAATCATCGTATAATCTACAATTTATTCTACCGATGTAAAAGTCTAATACTTATACAGTTCTTTAAAATATACGATCAATAACGTATCTTTATAAACTACATAATGATGTAAGAAGATGTTTTGAACATAGTCTCACTTAATAATTGCTCATTTGGATGGGAACATATTCAAACATAATTTAGTCAATTACTGAGTTGATAAAAACACAAAAATAAGTATTTATTACTTTTACTTACCGGTACTTCCAATGAGAATTCCTATTGATGTACCGTTATAGAAAATAATTCGATGATTTCCTAAATCTGCCACACGAATATTTCCATTGGAGGCAACTGGCACCTGTGAAGAACATGCCAATTGATTTAAAGATGAACCACGCGTTCCATTTCCACATATTGTTGTACCGTGTGAAACACCCACTAAGTATTTTTGAATTCGATGATTAGTATAATCTGCAATATATAGTGTATTTTAATAGTCTAGTATTGCATCTACTGGTGTATTGAGTTGATCACTGACATTTCCTGATGTTCCACTAATACCTGCTACAGTAATACCTGTTTGATTCCAATGAAATATAGGTACTCGAACTCAAAGATAAAATAAAAATGCAACTTTTGTTTCGTTGAAATGACAACGAGCTTGTTTGTGAAGATAATAGTCATCTATCTACTAAAGAAACAATGCATAAATTACTCTCATAAAAAAGATACTCATTATCAAAAGAAATTTTCTTTCTATCAATGATGATTAAGACAAATCAAGAGAGTGTTTATTCAACAGTGAAATATGCTTTCGAGATTCCTATTTTGTAAATTTATTCATGTAAACAATTGAATATAAGTGACAAAAGAAAAAAATACATTTTATCTTGCATGTTATTGTTTTGGACTTCCTTAGCAGAGCAATGGGAATTATACTAATGTTAATTGCAAGCATTAAAGTAGCAAGAATTGATATCACTACACATTGACACGAACATCTGCAATAAATATTTATAAAAAATACAAATATAGATTTGACGAAAAGAAAAGAAAACTCACATTTTCTTTTTATTCTTTTTTGTGATTTCTATGATAATCGGTAAGGATTTTGAATCGATCTGAAGAAACACTTCTTGGCTGTTTGCATTCAAGAAATTTTTCATAAAGAGAAATGAGCAAAATAATTAAGGGTGTGGGTGTGGGTGTGGGATGTGGATGTGGGTATAGGTGGGGTGTTGTTGTGGATGTGGATGTGAATCTCTTCTACTCTATCATCCACACCCCACACACACCCACACTCACACACACCCACACACCCACACTCAAAGTGAAATATTGTAGATACTCTGTGTCCAAATTCATTCAAACTATTACATTCACATTTTCGAATGACCCTTATGATTAAATGGTTGTATGGTTTTGAATCAAAATTAATGCTTGACATGCTAATTATTGCACTTATGAGGCTTCCTTTTCTTAAATAAAAAAATATAAAATGGCTTTGCTTGGCACCACTCATTAAGATCTATTTTAATACATTCACCACGCGTTTCCACAGTCCACACTATGGAATCCCCAAAGATCGTAGCAAAAGTCTATCAGGCCCTGAGCAAATAGTGCCAAGATATACTAGGTGGGTAAAAATATTATTCCAGGGGAGTAACGCTATGATTTCAAATAGCAATCATAACAAATTTTATACCAAATTAAAGCGCGTCAAAAATGGGGTTTATCAGTGCCAAATAGTAAGAGTTATCAAAGCTTTTCAATGTCGAACTTAGTAACTTTTTAGAAATTTTCCACTTTTTTGACATAGAAAATTAAGGCGCCAGTAATTTGAAAATGAAGAAAACATTTTTTCTTGGATATTTTTACACGGTTTGATAGAGCTCGTCGAGCTCTGCAAAACTGTATATATTAGAAATTCTTTAAGCCATTTTTGGGTGTGTGTGGGTGTGGGTGGGTGTGGGGTGTGGGTGTGGGTGTGGGTGGGTGTGGGTGTGGGTGTGGGTGGGTGTGGGTGTGGGGTGTGGGTGTGGGTATGGGTTATGAAAAGAACAACCCTCACCCCACCCCCATCCACACCCACACCCACCCACCCAGCTGATTGAAGGAAAAGAAGAAGAAGAAGAAGAAGAAGAACAGTAATGATGAGAAATAGTAGCTGTGTTGACATTTCTTACTTGGTTTTTGATTCGAGATTTAGCATCGAAATGGAAAATTGTGTTCCGTCTTATACACTACGACCGAATCGTTCTTCATCTTCTTTACTTTAAATCAATATCG